ACACCAAAACCCCACAATGAGCACATCAGGGACACCCAGGAGCCCCCAAAAGCCCCCCTGGGTGCCCCTCGGGGCCGTGCCGGGCAGAGCCCCCCTTGTGCTGAACAAAGCTCCTTTTTCCACTCTCTCAGCAGAGTTTGTACCAGAACTCCCTGGAAATGGGGTCCCGAGGGCGATTTCGGGGAAAAGGGAACTTGAACCAACCTCAGGAAGCGTCAGTGGGGTCAGCAGACGTGGGGACACTTCCGAGAAGGACGGGGAGGATGATTTTGGAGGATCCAAACGCATCCTGTGATCCCAGCACAGTTCACACACACCCCTAACCCCGATTTTGGCACGTTTTTTTGTAGGATTCTCCTGATTTRGGGCCCGGAGCCGATGGCAGAGAATGTCCACGACTAACAACATAGCGCAGGCCCGGAAACTCGTGGAGCAGCTCCGCATYGAGGCCGGCATCGAGAGGATCAAGGTGAGAAGGAAAAAAATCCCAAATTTTCCCCTACAAATGTTGGGATGTCTCAAATTCAGATATCACAGCATTCCCGGTGTTTTCTTTGGGATCTGGAGCGAGGAAGGTGGATCCCATCAGGATTTGGGATGAGTGGGATGGGTTTGGATGGAAAGAAGGGAATTTTAGGGTTTGCTAAATTCGAATYYTTGGAAATGTCCCRRGYCAGGCTTGGAGCAMCCTGGRATAGTGAAAAATRTCCCTGYCCCAATTTGAGAATTCCCACCCAAACCATCCTACAATTCCATAATTCCTAAAGAAAACCCTTTCCTACTGCTCACCATAAAACAACCAATTTTCCACGCCCAATCCCCCTTTTTTTCACTTCATTTCCATAAAATTACCATCGGGAAAACTGAGAATATCCAAATTTCTTGCTTTTTTTTTTTTTCCTCCCAGGTCTCGAAAGCATCCTCGGAGCTCATGAATTACTGCGAGCAACACGCCCGGAATGATCCACTCCTGGTGGGAGTTCCTGCTTCYGAGAATCCCTTTAAGGACAAAAAACCCTGTATCATCCTATAGCTCCGGATCATTCCGGAAAGAAATCCTTCTCCAGCCTCTGGATCCAGGCTCCTYCACACCTCCACCTGCTCCCAGGGGTAAAAACTCAACCTTGGCTTCGAACAGAACTTAAAAATTCCCGTGAAAAACAAAAAAAACCCACAAAAAAATAACAATTTGGAGAAAAAATTGGGAGTTTTAGGAGTTTTAGGAATTTTAGGGAAGGGCGGTTGCTCCCAAGCYGAGAAGGAAGGTGGGAGAAGGATTAAAATAAAAAATCAGGATTTTAAAATTGGCCAGGGTTGAGGGAGGAAGGGGGTTTAGGGGAAAGGGGGGGATTTTTCATAGGGATATTTGGGGTTGGAAAGGGGTGGTGGAGGTGGGGAGGGTCATTCCCRGTGGGATGTGAGAGCTGGACCTGGCTCTGATCCAATCAATCTCCAATCAGCAGGAATTTGCTCTGGAGAAGGGAACGAGGTGGGAGCGATTTTGTAGAAAATCAGTGCAAAAAAAACCCCAAAAAACAAAAAAAAACCCCAAAAAATCAACAAAAAAACCCCAAAAAAACAACAAAGAAAACCCAACAAAAACCCCAAAATCCAGCTGGAAAAAAAAAAAAAAATCCCTGTTGGGAATGGCTGAAGGGAGGCTGGGGGGGTTTTTCCTTAAATCCCTCGACTCGGATCAAGGGATGGCTCTGTAGGGGAAATCTGGGATCCCGTGAGGAATTTYAGGGATTCCCAGAGATGGGGGAGGCCGGGATCCATCCCGCCCTGGTAATTTTGGGGCATCTCTGTGCTGACCCTAAATCTGGGGAGAGGAAGGGAAGGGACTTCCAGAATCTTGGAAAAATCAACTTTTGGGCGAGCTTCAGCCCGAATTCCTAAAATCACCAAATTCCCAGAATTTCTCATTTCCCTTTTCTGCGCCGAGTGGGATTCTTCCTGGAAAAGAAGAATTTTTTTCGGGATAAATTTCCAGGGATGTTTAGGGCAGGTGAGGAGGGCGAGGGGAAGGATCAGCTCCATTCCCATCCCTCGGGAATTTGGGATGGGATTGAAGTGGGAGAGCTTTGTTCTCTTGGGGAACAGAGGGAGGGACCTGGGGGAGCTGGAAAAGGGGGAATTGGAGAAGGAACGGGAAAAGGAATGGGAAAAGGGGGAATGGGAAAAGGAATGGGAAAAGGGGGAATGGGAAAAGGGGGAATGGGAAAACAGAATGGGACAAGGGGGAGCAGGAAAAGGGAGAATGGGAAAAGGAATGGGAAAAGGAACAGGAAAAGAAATGGGAAAAGGGGGAGCAGGAAACACTTTCATGGAATGTTCTGGGCCTGGGGGATGCTCGGGAGAGCTCCAGGAATTCCCGTTTTGTTGCCATTCCTGTGCCAGGCATCCTTTGCCCGCTGGATCTGTCGGGAATGGGACAGATCCCAGGATTTTGACCGACCCCAAACTGTGTCCCCAGAGCCCAGCAGATCCTGGGAGTCATTCCCAGATTCCCTGAGGTTGGAAAAACCTTCCCGAGGCCGTTCCCAATGATCCCGAGCGCAGATTTTGGGAAGGGGATGGATAAAAACAATCCAAGCCTGATGTGAAATCCCGTGAGTTTCCCCGTTCCC